GAAATAATTCCCACATACTTAGCATTCCAATAATGCAACAATAGGCATAAATTGGACAGATTTGCCCAATCTTGGTTATCACCTCTAAAAAATTATTTAATAGAATATAAGGTTGAAATTAGTGTGAAAGCTTCAGAGAATATGTGGATTGCAAGATCTGCTTTAATCCTTTCCCCCCATCATTGCCAAAAGTTAAGAATTAGTCCTACATATAATGGTATGAAATTAATTCATGTTCTCATCTGTAAAATAAAAGTTAAGCATTATAATTGACTTCAATAGTTATTATGGTGACGATCAATAAAAATTCCTGGCAAGTATTGACAAGCCTTTAAGGACATAGCAGTTATGAGCTGCCAGCTAAAAAGTACTTAGAGACCTAGGCAGGAAGGTGACTTATGGCTACTTTATTTTTTTTTTAATGTAATTTGATTTACTTCGTTCCTTAAGAGAAAACATTTTACTAAGGCTTTTTGTTTGTGTGTTTTTAAGGTTTTTTTTAATAGACTTTATTTTTTTAGAGTAATTTTTTTGAAGTAATTTTAGGTTCACAGCAAATTTAATGAGAAAGTATAGAAAATTCCTATATTCTCCTTCCCCACTCCTCCACGTACAGTCTCCTCCACTACTAAACATCCAGCATGAGAATGGTACCTTTGTTACAAAATAAACCTACATTGATACACTTTTCTTGTTGTGCTTGATTTAGGAAGAGATGTAAATATGCAGTTTGTAAAATCCTGGGAAAAAATTATCTACTCACCTCCCATCATACACATACCTAAAAAAAAGCATATATATGCACACACGAACACACATGCCACAACTTTTGACTTTCCATCCTAAGAATGCACAGTGAAACGGACATTATCTGCCTATCACAGTATCAAACAATAACTCTTAAAAGCTCTTCCTATCACACTTCCTTTTAAGATAAGTGAGTGTTTTTTACATTGAAGGGATACATAGTAACCTTCTAAAGTAAGCCCCTAGATTTAGAATATTTTAGCAGTAGTGTTTTTAGTGGGTACACAGTGATTGATATAGACATTGTTAAAATTAGAGGCTGAACAAGTTTGATGTTTATCTTCCCTCCTCTTCCTTTCTCTCATCCTTTCATAAAAGCAATGGCTTGGATTTTATTACAGAAATTATGCCACTCTGTTTAGAGACAGCATTTTTAAATTTAGGTTTAGGTATGTATTTGTCTAATAATTAATTACTAATAATAAATTACTATTCAATAAAATTCCCGTAAGATATAATTTAAAATGTGATAGGGAAATGTTTACAGAGTGTTTTCTTTTTACTTTTATGAAAGTTTTGTATACTTATCAAATGCCTTTATATAGGGTTTTCTTTTCATAGACATTGTGGTACCTATAATTCTTGATTATTTGTCCTTGGTAGTTACAGCTAAGGTTAAATTTGCACTGTATTTCTTTCTTTCTCTCTCTCTCTCTTTTTTTTTTTTTTTTGAGACGGAATCTTGCTCTGTCACCCAGGCTGAAATGCAGTGGCATGATCTCGGCTCACTGCAAGCTGGCTCACACTCATGAATCTGCCTCCCGGGTTCATGCCATTCTCCTGCCTTAGCCTCCCAAGTGGCTGGGACTACAGACACCCACCACCACGCCCAGCTAATTTTTTTTTTTTTTTTTTTGTATTTTTTAGTAGAGACGAGGTTTCACTGTGTTAGCCAGAATGGTCTCGATCTCCTAACCTCATGATCCGCCCGCCTCGGCCTCCCAAAGTACTGGGATTACAGGCATGAGCCACTGCACCCAGCCTGCATTGTATTTCTAAAATAAATATAATATAATTTATAAAGTTTTTAGTCATAAAAAGACAGGCCAAACCAACAAACCTTAAAACCTTACTACTAAGCTGGGCACCAGAGTTCGTGCCTGTAGTCCAGCTATTTGGGAATCTGTGGAGCCCAGCCTGAACAACAAAGTAAGACCTCATCACTCTAAAACAAACAAATGAGCAAAAAACCCAAAACAGAAAAAAAAATTCCACCTTACTATGTCACATGCAAAAAAAAAAAAAAAATTAGAACCAGACCTTATACCCTTCACAAAAATTAACTCAAAACTGACCATTGACATACATTTAAAATACAAAACTATAAAATGCCTAGCAAATAACAGAGAACTTCTAGATGATCTTGGGCATGATCACAACTTTTTAAATACAACACAAAAGGCAAGATCCATGAAAGAAATAACTGATAAACGGGGGGCTCCATTAAAATAAAAAACTTCTACTCTGTGAAAGATACTGTCAAGAGAAGGGGAAGATAACCACAGATTGGGAGAACATATTTGCCTAAGACTTAACAGACGGACTGTTATCCAAAATACAAAAATAACTCTTACAACTCAACAATAAGAAAATGAACAACCTAATTTAACAAATAGGCCAAAGAACCGAGTTCGCACCACTGCACTCCAGCCTGGGTGACAGAGTAAGACTTCATCTCAAAAGAAAAACAAAACAAAACAAAACAAAAAAGTGGTGAAATATAATATTTAATGAGGGGAATGGAAATCAAATGACAACAAAATTACATCATACACAGAAGAGAGTTAAGTACTTGTGTAGAGGAATTAAACTGATTAAGGTTTTCCTGCAAATTGCTCCATACACACATTATTTCCATAACTTTAAAGAATATATTTTGTTTTTTTGTCCAGGGTGTATTGTTAAGTACATTCCCTCTTACTCGTTCTTCTCAACCCAGATCCATTTTCCAATCTCCCACTGATCCCATGTCAGCATGCTCTGTTTTTGACTAGACAAATAATACACAGATTTATTTCTACAGGAAAAACCTCTGGTAAAATCATAGAGTGCCTACTTGAACGATACCCAAAAGGTAACTGCGTGCTTTCCGCTGGCCAGAAATAACTCACAGCAAATGAATTCACAGAGCAGTCAATGGAATACTGTAACCCTCTTAGGGGAGCCATTGTACTATGAGAGAAATGTAAAGCAGTGAAGCAGCCTTTATATCTATATCTATATGCATATATATATACACACACAATGCAGTGTGTGTATGTGTGTGTACATATATATACACACATACATGCATACATATGTATGTACACACATACACACTGTATTATGTACGATAGAAATTATGGTAAAAATAAGTTAGACTATTGATCTGTGACAAATTTCCACTTGAAGCCATATGGAGTTGGCTTAATATTCCTTTCATTGACATTGTATTATTGTGATAATTTATTTAGAATGATTTTTATTATTACTGTTTTAAGACTAGCAGTAGATTGAATGGCAGTAATTCTAAGACCAGAATAGACTGATGTTACTTCTTAGATGTAAATCTACAGATTGAAAGATTGGTACTGTGAGATTTGTTTTTGTTTTGTTTTGTTTTGTTTTTCTTTTGAGATGAAGTCTTACTCTGTCACCCAGGCTGGAGTGCAGTGGTGCGATCTTGGTTCACTGCAAACTCTGCCTCCTGGGTTCAAGCAATTCTCCTGCCTCAGCCTCCCATATTAGCTGGGATTACAGGCATGCGCCACCGCAACCAGCTAATTTTTGTATTTTAGTAGAGATGGGGTTTCACCGTGTTGGCCAGGCTAGTCTCAAACTCCTGGCCTCAAGCAATCCACCCACCTCAGTCACCCGAAGTGCTGGGATTCCAGTCCTGAGCCACCGCACCTGGCCCAAGATTTGTATTTCTTAAACTGAATTCTAGAATTTATTTAAGGGGGGGGGGGAAACAACGCACACTTTCAGTGCATGAATGGGATTCTGTATTACTGGGATTAACTATAAGAATTCATTTAACGAATTTCTTTTACAGAAGTCAGTTTAGAATTGGGGGCAGTGTTAGAGCTGAAAGTATGGAAAAGTAAAGATGGAAATAAAATTGTTTAGAAATAAAACTCAAATTTATGACATGGGAGAAATCATGAATTTTTCAAGTGAACAGTGTTTGGCTATTGTTATATATATCCTGGTTTAGCCAATATGCACATCCATTGTTTTATGTTGACATGTCGTGTTACAAGTTTTGTGTTATTCTTGGAAGCTAGCACACTTCTGAAACTTTTGGCGACCATTCTGGCAGAGTATCTAATGCGTCTGAAAACAAACAAACAATAAAGGTAATTATTTGAAGGAAATCAATGCACAATTAAAAGTGGAGACACAGTGTCAGTTTGCATCAATCTAATTTAAAGATGTCTCCTAAACCTAAATGTCACTAAGAATTACTAGCTTTTTTTTTTTTTTTTTCAGCGTAAGAATTTGGAAAATCTTACCCCCTTCCAAAATGATATTTCAGGGGATTTCCAGACCTTTTCCCGCTATTACATTTGATTGCTTTCTATCTCATTACTTCAAAATCTGATGTTTTCTAGAATATCTACACTTACACACACACACACACACACACACACACACACACACACACACTACATTTACATTGCATTCCCTTTAGCCCTAGTCATCTTTTTTTTAGGTCATCTAAATTTTGGGCTGGTTACTTTTCTCACTTCATCTAATTTCTGGGATGGTCACATTTCTTACTTCATCTTAATTCTGGTCAAGGGCAGGATTTACTGTGTCTGGACAGATAGTGAGAGAGAAAGGGCATGACAAAGGTGAAGATATCACACTCCTGCCTCCCACCTCCCCTGAGAATATGTATCTCAGTCTATCATTCTTCCTTCAGAGTGATGCTCCTAGATATAAAAGGAAATGATCAGAGACTTGCTGCTGGTTGAGTGCGTTTCAGTATATAGGATTCCTCACAGGAACTGAACTGCAAGTTTCTGCATGTCTCATAATTATTATTCCTGTGTGCTTTTGTCTCTGTAGATTATCAAAGGAGAAGGCAAAGGGGGAAAAGGGGAAAAACAGAGAAAGATAAAAATGGAGCCCTCTTCACAGCTTTTCTATTTGTTAATGGCTATGAAGATTCCTTAAAACTTGAGTGGGTTTCTTCATTCTCCCTTCAGGAAAAGAAGAGATGGAAGGAAGCTGTTGCTTCATTTTCTGTTCATAGCAGGGAAGAGAGAATATCAGAGTTTGATGGGAGCAGGCACAGCCAGAAGAAGGTAATTATGCAGCCAAATTCAGACTTGGGAGAAACACAACTGTGATAGGCGATTCCAGGACAGAGAAGTGTGCTCTTAACAGGACTTTTTTTTTCGATCTGCATTTTTTTTTTTCTCCTGGCCACCAAGACCACTTGTCCAGACATGGAACTCCCAACAGGAGCTCAGAGCTCATACAATACCAAGTACTGCAACCGGGCAGAGTTTTCTCAGTCCAGAGTCACGGCTGTAGTGTGAAGGTGTCATCTGAATTTGGGATTTTGTCTGAATTTGTCTTACGTTTAATAATTTTTTGGCAATGCTAGGCCAGAGTTATTCTTTATGCACGATCCATAGCTTAACCAGAACACTGTGGGTCAGGTCGGAAATACAACCACCAGTGACAACATTGATTTTGTCTGCTCAACAAGTATTTATTAAGCACTATGAGGATGTATTCCAATTTTCAAGCAGAGAGTAGCAAGACATAGGTTTTTACAATTAGTGATTATCTGAACATGAGTGGCATTAAAATGTGTATTCAAATTATAATTTTTTCAAGTTATATAAAGGCTTAATATTCTCTTCCAGAAGATGGCAAAGAATGAATTTCAATTATTGTAATCACCACTATTGATTTAATATGACTTCTTTAATTGGATGTGCTATCTTCTGCCATAGATATAATAAAGAGAAAATTATATAATCTGGAGAGTATTTTTTCTCGTTCAGTTTCTATAACATTTATTTTAAATTCACGCTATGCCTCCTTAACTTGAAGAAAGCAAGCCTGCATTTGAAAAACACAACAACAAAATTTACTTCTGAGTCCAGCTTCATGTACTAAGAAATGTTGTTATTGTCTTATTGTAATGTTATTATTATATATAAAGTAAATTTTCACATCTATAATTACTATCCCACGTAATTTAAATCTCTCTACATTGTCACAGAAATATAATAATGTAATATTGACCATTTGTAGATATGTATTTTAATTTAAATGACTCATAAAATTTGAGTTTATTTTAAGAAAAAAAGGAATGGATTGAGGCAAAATAATATTGATAAGTTGAAGAAATACCAGTGGGCAGTTAGAATCACTAAGCTGAATTTTTGACTTCTTGTCATATTCTAATTATTTGTTTTGATTTTAAATTTGGAATATTTTAAATACAATATTTTAGTGTAAGAAAGTTTGGTTCAAAGATATTTGGGCATTTCCCATTACCCCTTAACGATGTAATATTAATATTTTCAACATTATACTTGATACAGTAAACCATAAAAAAGATTTTCTTGAACTAATTAGAACATAAAAGACTCTTATTTTAGTCAAATAATATTCCAAACAGTAAGTCTCCTTTTATAAAGACAAATAACGGTAAACAGACCAAATCAGAGTGTTTGTAAAATGCTTATTATTATGATTGAAGGAGAAAAGCTCTTTCGGGTTTTGATATTGAGATTGATACAGATACGAATGTTCTCTACGTGCATGATTTACAATTGCCATTATATCAAGATGACAAATGTTCAAACAGTCTTGAAATAATTTTGATCATCTCCCCTCCTCACGAAAATAAAAAATGATATTACAATAGAAAAAGAAGAAAAAGAAACATAATGGGTAACTGAAAGTCATTGACTTGATTTAAAATCTGGTCAAAAGATTACGGCTCTCTGTAAACAAAGAAGCATAGACTGTCTCATTCTTTTCCCACAGTTGCGTTCTGATGCAAGAGGATATATATTTGGGTTCCCAAATTCTTGCCTCCCTAAGGGAATTTAACTTCTATACAATTCTCAGCAATAAATATGAACCACCATTTCACACTGTAAAACATTTCTGTCAACATAGCAGATGCTAAAGATGATATATTTGACTAAGCACACATCCAGATAATACAATGTATTTTGAGTGGGAAAGAAAAGTAACCTCTGCAGGTAAAGAAAATATTCTAATGATATATTTAATTTAGACAATATAATTTTTTGAATGTTTCTACCTTTTCTCTTCTATTTTAGCAAGGAAAAAATATAGTGTTCATAGTATTGAACTTTAAAGTAAAAGTAACAATATTCAGTTATTTTTGTTTTATAATATTATAGATTTATGCATGGCCTGCATTAAATACCATGTGAGGTTTATAGAGAAAAGAGAAGACATAGATATTACCTTTAAGAATATCCCTTATTTACTTTTAACATAAAATGTCAATCTAAAAACTAAACATTTTAGATGGCCTTTATGGAAATTTTCAGCTATAACCACCAGAAAATGGGCATGAGAAACTGTCAATTTTTTTAATCCACTGAACCAAATCGTTTTGCAAAATATTGTATTTGTACATTTTTAAAACTTTTATAGTTTACATTTAGAATATAAAACAGCAGGGCATAACTCCTCCGTGTAACTTTCAATTACTCATAACAGAGTAGATCTAGGAACAAACGTCTAAGAAGTGTATTATTGTTGTTGTTGTTGTTATTCAAGATATGTCCCATAATATGTAGATGTGGAAAATCCCTATTTTTCCAGTGGTCAGATGTTTTGAACTTGTGTTGACTGAACCATAAAAATGGCTGACTCCACCACTACGACACTAAGGAAACTGAACCTGAAAGATACATTTCCTTGTTTTGTTCATGGTTTTTTTTTTTTTTTTTCCTTCTGAATTACCTGATTTTCCTAGGAACTTCAGAATCTCTTTTACTATGTTTTGAAATCATTCATTAACCTCTCAAGCAAGTGAACAAAATCGATGTCACCATTTAAGATGAGAAAAAGAAATCCTCTGCCGCACAATTTATTATCATTTTTTAGCACTGCACGATTTTAAATCAAGGTTTAGACATTCTGGAATGGAAAAGTTGCACTAGAAAAGAATAAGTTTATAGCTACAGACTCGAAGGGTCTTGTTCCCTAAAGAACCTCTGCTTCCAAGATCTTTCTGATTCATCACAAAGACCTAAATGTGGGGAAAAATAAAAAGTTAAAAAAAGGATAATTGGAAAATATGCTTAAGTGTTGGAGAAGTGAGAGTCTGTCAGGAACAGAAATAGACAATTATCTAGAACAATAAACAACCAAAAGTAATTTACAAAATATATTGACGTTTCTGAGAATTTTCTAGAAAATAATTCTCGGTATGTTTTCTAGCTAAGAACATTCCCCAGCAGACTGCAAATATGAAACTGGTTTTTGAATTTCTAAGAAAAGAGGAAGGAATGTTTTAATATGTAACAATGAATCACACCCTGACAGCGCCATCTACCAGTCACAGTTCAAACTGCAAGGGAAAACCGAGTTCTAAAACAAAGCTTCTGATTGTAAATAACCAAAACAATTTCTGAAACAATATATAATTGTGTTTAATATATGAAACATTTTATTTTGGATTCATCATTTTATACTTTTATTATGTCCTCATAATAAATTATATAGGGGATTTCTACTTAACCAAAATAATATAATCCCATATTCCTTGAATCATTATTTTTATGTGGCATAGAAAAAACTACAGCTTCCTAAGCTAATTACTATCTCAAAGTTCATTTTCTTTTCATCACTACAAATATGTTCTCCAGGAAAATATAATGCCCATAATTTGTCTATGCCCTTCTAACTGTGTTGCTATCTCATGCAGTGGATAATTTTATGACTTCCTGTTTCACTGACTTTCTCATGGTATCCTAAGGTCCAGAAAACTTCTTTTATCCTAGCACCCATTTGAGCTTGAAATTTAAAAGTCTAGAGGGTTAGTCTTTATTTTTCTCTTGCAGAAATGGAAATGATTGAAATGACACATTACTAAATCATTAAAGCATTATCACAAGATGTTTTGGTGTAGTCGTTTGGTTTGGAGTCTGTGAAATGGAAAACGCAACATTGTTTTACCTTGCAGCCCTGCTTTAGTTAAAAGACATTACAGTCTCTCATGAGTATGTGGTATAAGCTTCTCTGTCCAAAACCAACAGTCAGTTGGCTCCACGCTCACTCATTTCCTTCTCTCCTCTTCTTCCTCTTCCTCCTCCTCTTCTGACAGAAGCAGAAAAATTATTTCAGCATTTTGAAATAAATGTCCTTTTGGGGCCAAAGATGTCTACCACCCAACTGGAAAAGCAGGAGAGACCACGCAAACTTGAGAATCAGCGCAAATGGTGAGGCTGAGGAGCAAGCATGTTTCCAAGATGAAGCACAAATGCTTCTATGGGTAACTTAATTGGCTGTGGCATTTGGATCTACTCTAATGATTCGAAAAAAAGAATTGTTTATAAGCATAAATAGTAAAAATATGTAAACATTATTTGTGTGCCTCGAGGTTTTTTTACATGTAACCTCCATTAGAGATTACAAATGAAACAAAAATAATATTTGTTAAATCATAAAGCTCTATTTGGTCAATTTCTTCTTTTAAAACCTTAGGAAGTATTTTAAAGAACCACAAATTATATTCCTCTTTTTTTTTCTTTTAGGGAGAAAGAATATTTAGTTTGTACTTGTTTGGATATCAGCAACATAGAGACCGTTTTCTTTTTTGGAAAGAAAATTTTTATACCCTTAGTTGACTTCACACACACACACAAATCTGGTACACAAATGTAGGCAATTTAAACTAGTCACTTGGGTGAAAATCTCTCTGTCTTCATCTCATTCAAAATATTACCTAAATGTAATCTGAACCATTTAGAGTAGCTCTACTTAAATCCTGTTATGTTTTCAGTAGTAAAGACTGATAACTTGATAGTTCCCAAGGGTTTGATGCTTACAGTTTAAGTACAAAGTTGACATTACATGCTCTTTTCTGAAAATCCCCAGGGCTATATTAGAGATGAGATAAGTAAAGATGTGTAGAACTGTGTAGAAATCTGTGGGTATCTTCGAACACAGTACTCTAGGTGAATATCCCTATAGGTTTAGTCATTCTCATATTAATATAATCTTCTTACTGGTGGTTAATGAAAGACAATGAAAACTTGGCCTCAAAGTTTTAAATACTTACATATTTCTTTGTAAGTAGAATTACTATGAAAATAGCATTTATTATACATTTAAAAACACTTCAAAGGTATTCATTTTTAGAGGTTGTGAGTTCATTTTTTCACTCATTCTTGCTCTCTAACATAGAATAGTATGCCCCCAAAGGCTCTTATTTAGGCCATCATAATTTCTCCTCTGGGCTATTACTTTACTCCCTAACTTAATCTCTAATTTCAGTGTCACCATTCTTCTCCCTTTGCACAGTAGATTGAATTTTCTAATCTCCTTATCCTATCATCAGTGCATAAAAATATACACAGGCCTTCCACAATGTTCCTTTATGATGGTACTTCATCCCTCCACTTCTCCATCTCCAACCTGAAATCTAGTCACACTGGATTCATGACAGTTCTTTTAAAGACTTTGCACTTTCACTTTCCTGTTCCCCACTCCTACCTACCAATCTCACATGTTTAGGACATCTTCATTTGTGTTTTAATACCTACTAAAATAAAACCCCACAGAGAAATCTTTCCTGACCTCTTGAACCCTTCTCTTTAACTCCCCACATGTCCAACTCACATTGTACCGTAACCCCGTACTTGAAATTCAATAGACTGTAAGACATTTATGGGCAGAAAGCACATGCGATCCATTTAGAAGGAAAGCACTGAAGACAAGGCCTGATAAGAGATAGTTCTCACTATCAGTTCATTGAATAAATGAAGGTATGTTTCAGTAGACAGTCAGATCAACTCAGTAACTTTAGAAACAAAGAAATTGAGAAGTAGTTTGATTAAAAGACTTATCTGAGGCCAGTTTTTGAAGGAATGGCACCATGACACCAGGTGACAATTACCATTCAGGGCTCCTTCCCCTTACAGCTCAAGAACAGCTCCTGAAAAATGTCAGTCTCAGTAGCATTAATTTAGGACTAAATCTTAGCTATGTACAATGTCCCAGTAAGAATAATATTCCATGTTTGTCCTTTGTGTTTAAACAAAGTGTGTGATCAATTTGAATTTAGTGTCCTCTGCCCCCATGCCTGAGGTGGGGAGCACAACTTTAGAAACTGCAAGTGGCAGCCCTTCTATGAAGCAAGAAGCTTGCACACTTAGCTCTGTTTTCCATGGTTTCTTCAACACTTAGGATTTTCCTGACTTCCTCCAGTTGTGTTTTTTTTTCTTTTTCATTTTTCTTTTTTAAGTTTGGAGAAGTACAGCCAGCTGGCTGAAATCTGCTTCCCATGTGTTCTTAATAACTATTATTTCCCCAAGGGCTAGCCTATGCTTCTCAAACCTGGCTACAGATTAGAATCTCCAAGGTAACTTTTGAAAAAAAATACCAATGTGTGGACCCACAACCAATGATTCTGATTAAATTGGTTGGGGGTAGATCTTGGGCAACAGTAGGCTATAAAAACTCTCATCTGATTCTAATGTGTGGCTAGACCTGGCCATCTCCACTCTTGACTTTTTCAGGAGGAATAATGAAATGGCTTGGCCTTCCATTTAATTTGTATATCGCTTCCGTCCACAGCTGCCAGGGCAGAGGATGCTGCATGTTCAATGTATACATTCTATTCAAATATGGAATGAATGATGAAATGATTGTTCTTTCCTTGTATGTTAGTTTGGATATGTGGCTGGTCAAAGACTCCTATAAGCACCAATAAAAAGGAAGGTATCATTGGATTCGATACCGTCAATGTCTGACTTTGTCTTGGAAAAATTGTACTGAAACCCTATTCGGACTTGGCTTTGGAAAGCCCCTCCCTCTCCCAGAAGGGTGAGGCAAGTGGTGACAGAAGTTGATTACAGAACAAAGAACCATTTTCCCAATTTCTCTTTAATTCTGAGTATTTTCTTATCAAATTGCCATTCCTCTACACTTATTCTTCCCTTGAATTGAATATGTAATCTGAATAGGTACTAGATCAGTGTTATTATAATTTCTAATAAAGTTGTTAAGCTGTTGATAGTAACACAATAGAAGACTAATGAAAAGTGAACAATGAGCTGTTCTTGGCATAACAATAGAAGAGTGAATAGCACTCTGACACCTTATGACTACCTAATCAGTTACTGTTATTTATGGAGAGATTGATGGTTCTCTTGAGATATTAATTTGGGTTTTGAGGGGCGGTTAAGGAAAGAACATGTTGCTAATGTGCTAGTCAATTCATTTATATTTTCTATGCTTCTTTTTCAGAGTTTGTCTGTTCCAGAGTATCAGCTTACAGAGCAACGTTATCTAGGGAGCCCTATACCTCTGGCCATTGCTGATTAGATAAGAATAAGCATTTGGTTATTTGTTATATACTTGGTTGTCCAGTATATAAACCAATAAACTTGGTTGTCCAGTGACAAATCTGATTTTTTTTCCAGCGATTCATACTAATAGTGCCAGAGATATTCTGAGGTATTCACAAATATTGACACCCTAAGGTTACATATTCTAAGGCCGGTGGCCAATTTCATCTATGTTTAAGTTAATGATTAAACAGGGAAATCTGGTTCTAATGTGTGTTCTAACAGATAAAATGTACTGAGTATTTGGCTTAATGAGCATGCCTTGGAATGAGTGGCAGATAGAGAAAGGAGACTTAGCTACTTTTAGTTCCTGGGAGCCCTGGCTACTCTTTCTTTCAGTCACTTGGTGAGATTCCCTTGTGTTCCTCGGATACATTTATTTTTTCTTAGCTAATTTATGTTCATTAAAATAACACTGCCCTTAACCAGGAAGAACAGTAAAGTGTTCCGTAACATACATATTTATATTAGTCTTCACTTTGAATTTTTTTGTTTAAAGTGATTGAAAGAAACCATTTAGCTTTGGATTGACAAATTTCCAGAGGAGGCTTTTCACCTAAAACAACAGACTGTGGAAAGACCTACGGGCTTGTGTGATGGAGGAAAAACAAAGAGAACTCAAAGGATGAGGAAAGAACTTGAAAGTTAAATTCTCTGTTACTTCATATCAGTAAGTGATTTCTTCTTATATAATTTACACTGTAATATTCTTTAAATGAACAAAAATATTTTGTGTATTTGTAAAAGGCCCTATACATACACTGGTAAGAAATGTGTTAAAAATGAAAGAAAAATGCTGACATGCCTAGGAATGATTATAATGATAACCATTGTAAATATTATGGGCCAGACACTATACCAATGCCAATACAATACCAAGTTTATTGTAAAGCAATAAACTTTACATGGATGATAACATTGAATTATAACAACAGTTTTACGAATTTAGAAATGTTATGTCTATTTTATGAATAAGGAAACCTAGACTTAGAGTGGTTAAATCACAGTCCAAAGTTATACAGCTGTAATATGGTGGATTCAAATTGCAAAATCAACTGAGTATTGTTTTAGCGTCCGTGATCTTAAGCATTCTGCTTTAATATACTTAGAGGAAAACTTTCCTCAATTTCTGGAGATGAAGAAATGGAAAATTATCCAAGCTAGTGGCAATGCAAACCATCTGAGAAAGGAGAGTCTGGGAGTGTGGCTGTCTGAGACACATCATTTCATCCCAGCTGGTGCTCTTGGGAAGAATTAGGACTTTGTAAGAAAGATTTACTTTGAAAAAGATTATCTTGACACTTCTGCAGAAGGTCGACCAGAAAAAGGAAGATACATCATAAGACTATTTTAGTAATTAAAATAAAATGAAAATGTCCAGTTTGGGGTTATAATTATCAAGGTTTATAGAAGCTGGTAAAGAAGAAAATTTGTTACAGATAATTTTAAATTTTGAGTCTGGTGGACTGAAAAAATAATGATGCCATTGGGAGCAAAAGTAAAATTATAAAGTGTCTGTTTTTTGATGAGGAAAAAAATATATTTCGCTGGTGGTGTAATCAAGCTGCCAACAAAGATGTGAGATAGATCTTTTCTTATTCAAGTGAATTATCTTCCTGTTCTGTTCTAGTCAGGCTTTCTGAGTGTGTAGGTCAGCGTCTTAACCTCAAATTATTCTTTTAGCTCATCTTATTGTTGTCTTTGTCTTGTTCTTTGGAACTGTGTCTTCTCATCTCATATCCATTCTTCATTAGCTGGATAGTACACTATTTTATATGCCGATACCCTGTCTTGTATTTCAGAAAGATCTACAGTTATGGAGACCAGTAGCTTAACCCAGTGGTTGGAGATTCTAACTAGTAGTAGCTCTTTGGTGCCAACTTTATACATACTTGGATTTTGACTTACTGACTGATACGCACAATTCTTGTAGTGTCATATTGTTTACCTTCCAGTATGTCAGCTTGATAACTGTCTTTAGATAACCTTGATTCTCAAAGAAACATCAGCATAGATGTCTACCAAGTTTCCGAAGATCAGCCATTTCCAGTGGGAGGATTGTACTTGGGCCATAGTCCAAATACTTATTTTCTTTAATTCCCCTGTATATTCATTATGCCTTGATGTTATTTAATAGATCAGATGTATTTATTATACATTTGCATATATATTAATACACATGTGCACTCTGATCTATTTATTACATGTATTATTTTCTTTGTTTTCCAAAATTGGAATCATGCTACAAATATTGGTTTGTTTTTTAAATTTTTATCCACTTACTCAATTATCATATGTACCATTTTAGGTTAGCACCTCATTATTTTTAATAGTTTCATAGTAATTTTTAAATATAGGTACTATAATTCTTTATCTCATTTTATTTTTTATTGATATTGAGTCTGCAAATAACATTTATAACGAATATCGTTTATGCATAAGTGTCCCTGACTGTATGTGTATCTGCTGTAGAGGTTAGACTAATGTAACTAAAGAATAGATTCTTAGATTTTCAATTTCTGGGGGAAAGAGAGGACAATCTTAAAAGTATATACATATTCCCAGGTTACTCTCCAAAACCCATATCTACTCACACCAAATATTCATATTTATGACTATACATTTTACCCCATCTTTGTCCACACTGAACATTGTTGAATCTTTTTATTTAAATAGCTAGGTAAAGAGTATAACATTATTTTATTAAATTAATGAAGTTGAACATCTTTTTATGTGTTTGCTGGCCATTTATATGTCTTCTAATGTCAAGTTGCACTCTTGTTTTCCTTGTTATTGAAGTATATATCTTTTTCTTTTCATTTTATATGAGCTCCCAAATTTTACTAAATTTGAATGCAGAAGTTATTCTTTATTAATGTGCTAATTAAATGTATTTCTCTGTTTAAATGTATTTTAAACTATATTTTAAATAAATGTTCTCAGAATACTTTAGAGTACATTGAAGCAACCTTGGAGTAATTTAGTTTAGGATTGTTCATTAAGTAAGAGCTACATGGAGAAATAGACTTAATCTATCTAACGGCACATAGAAGTACAACAAACTCACAGCACACACCTTCTAGACTTTAGGATCATGCAAAAGATGTCAACTTTGTACTGTCTGTTCTTAATCACTGCAGTATGTTGAAAGTGATTTTAAAAATATTTAGCAGACATAATTGAAGTATTTACAAAGAATAAATGAAATGAGATTATGCTTGCCAGAAGTCCTATGTTGTATACATTTCTTCATATGTTCTATTTTTAAGGCACAGTCAACTTTCAACATATTCATGAGAGGCATGTATAAACAAACATAATATGTTATCTCACAACAAAATATTGTTTCATAATTTCATATTGATTGTAAATATAATAGAAATTGTGCTGGGAATTTAAGACTAAATTTAAAGGCAAGAATGAGATTTCAGTGACTATGTTTTTAAAGATAAAGATTGAGGAGTTGGAAACGAAATAGAAAGTGAGAAAGTATAGCTGGAGAGAGATGTTCAAGGAACAAATCCTACATTGTCATGGGACTCAAGATAAACTGACTTATACAAAGGAAATTCTTCACTCTTTTCTCACCTTTCTGTCAGCCCAATATTGCTTAATTCCTCTAGAAATCAGTAGAGTTGAGAGTGCCTGCAGACAGATATTAATAAAAATCTACACCTTTCTTTTTCTTTTTCATTTTTTTTTCCACATTAGTAAAGCTGATCAGCTAGAAACTTTTCTCCACCGCTTCTGTGTATCTGGGGTCATGAAGAACATATTTCTAAGAGAGTTTCAGTGGAGGTAAATTATTGCTGCTAAAGAATTGCAGCCAATACACATGCCCATTGCCTTCTAGGTGAATAGTTGGTAAGTATTCAGTGTAAACATTATGCATATTAAAATCAATCAATATGTATAAACTTATGAATGAATATTCAATATTTATTGTGTATTTATAATATGTTAAAGAACATATTGATGAACAAAACCAGAAAGCTGCTTTCATGAAACTCAAATATATTTTAATACAAATATATTCAATTGATTTTACAATAATATATTAAAAATATGATGGCATAGCATAAATCATGGGCATTGGGGTCTCACATATCTAGATTCTTGTACCAGCATTACCACTTACTGGCTACGTGACCTTGGGCAATTTATCTGACCTCTTTAAGTGGTCTTAATTATGTTGTCAGAGATTATTTCCTCCTGTCATTTAGAAGGTGTAATGGAAAAAACCACTGGATTAGAAGTAGAATCCTGGCTTAAGGTTTCTGCTCCTGGCTCCAGCACCACCCTGCTCTGGGACTCAGTTTCCTTATGTATGAAATAAAGCTCTGGATAATGTAATTTGCTAAGTCTCTTTCATATTTTAGGACACAAAGAACTTTTACTTTCACACTTAATTTCACATTCATGAGGGAAAATTAGCTTCCTTCATGTTTCCCCCTTCTTTTATTTTTTAGATTCTATTGCAAGGCTGCAGCTTCAAATCTAGGAGCAAAATATGTTGAAAGCTTTTAAAATTTCAAAATCATTTATTTACCAGAGAAGACCTTTGCCACTGGATTTCAAACAATGGTAGGAGTGGTTTTAAGAAGCACAGTCTACACTACAATTTATTTCCCAAGGGCTTTGAAAGAAAGGCCTCTCCTAAAACTTACATTTTTGAGAAAGGTGGAGCTGAACTCTCATCTGTAGAAAACATCAGTCAGAATCTATGATTCATTGCCAGAAGCCTTATTTTGGAATCTTTTCTTAATAACAACCCTGTATAACAAAAAGATGCTTTGTATTTCAGAAATGCCTTTATTTAGACCACCTTTCCAATGTATTTATAAACATGTCTAAGAAACACAGGCTATGTCTAGACTATCAAAGCAAAACGGCACCAAAATCTAACAGAAACAAAGGTATAGCATTGGTGAACTGGTATGTTCAGTAGTCTGAACATCCATATTAGTTTATTCCATTGATAACTCCAATAAAGATTGTAGAGAGGCCGGGCGCGGTGGCTCAAGCCTGTAATCCCAGCACTTTGGGAGGTCGAGACGGGCGGATCACAAGGTCAGGAGATCGAGACCATCCTGGCTAACACGGCGAAACCCCGTCTCTACTAAAAACACAAAAAAATTAGCCGGGCGAGGTGGCGGCGCCTGTGGTCCCAGCTACTCGGGAGGCTGAGGCAGGAGAATGGCGGGAACCCGGGAGGCGGAGCTTGCAGTGAGCTGAGATCCGGCCACTGCACTCCAGCCTGGGCGACAGAGCGAGACTCCGTCTCAAAAAAAAAAAAAAAAAAAAAAAAAAGATTGTAGAGAAAAGTATAAATTTTATGGAAGCAGATTTTTATTTAAGTCATTCCCTGTCAGTTTGGACATGTTCAAAATATATTTATTAACTGTGATTGGTGCTGATAGCTTAAAGAAATGTAGGTTATTCAGGGCTTACCCACATGAAAAGCTAAAAATCAAAACAAGAGTGTCTGTTCAAATCTTTTGCCCATTTTTAAATTATGATGTTTATTTTATTATTGAGTTAGAAGAATTCTTTATATATTCTAAACACAAGTTCTTTCTCAGATACATGTCCTGCAAATATTTTTTTCTCAGTTTTTTGCTTGCCTTTTGTTTTTATAACAGTGCCTTTTGAAAACCCAACAATTTTAATGTTGATAATGTCAAATGTACTGATTTTGTTCTTGCTTTCTGTGTTATAGCTTTAAAACTATTTGTCAAACTCAAGGCGACTAAGATTTTCTTTCCGTCTCCCAAAACTTTTATAGTTTTAGGTTTTTGATCCATTTTGAGTTATTTTTACATATGACATAAAATAAGGCTTCTTTTTTGCATATGGCTATAAAATTGTTCCACTAGTATATATTGAAACGCTTATCCTTCCCAATTGAAATTCCTGGGTACCTTTGGCAAAAATTGATTGACCATAAATGTGTGAATTGATATTTAATATATCCATTGATCTGTTTTCCTGTGATTACAGCAATACCCACTTTCTTGATTACTAAACTTGTATAATAAGTATTGAAATCAGATAGTGAAAAGTCCTTCAAAATTATTTTTCTTTTTCAATGATGTTTTCATTATTCCAAGTTCTTTGTATTTCCATATAAATTTTAAAACAAACAATTTCTACAGCAAAGTCTACTGAGATTTTGACTGGGCTCGCATTGAATGAATTTGCAGGGAATTGATGTTTTAACAATATTGAGTCATCACACTATGAATGCACCATATTTCTCCACATATTCAATCTTTAATTTATGCTAGGTATCTTTTGTGGTTTCCACTGTCTAGAATTTACACCTCTCTGTCAAATTTATCCCTAAGCAGTTTATATTTTTATATTATAGTAAATAGTATTATTTTATAAGTTCATTTTCTAATTGTTCACAGCTAGTATAATAGAAATATATTTAATTTTTTAAATTGATCTTGTATCCTGAAACCTTGTTAAACTCATTTACTAATTCTGATAGTTTCTCTGTAGATTTTTTAGAATGTATTACACAAATGATTGCCTTTTCTTTCTTTTTCAACCTGATTACACAGGCTGGAATCTCCAGTAAAATGTTGAATAGAAATAATAAAGAGTGTACCACTTTGGCCACTTTGCTTTGTTCCTGAATTTACAGGTATAGTATCCAGTCTTCACCATTAACTATGATTTGAGTTGTTAATTTTTCATGGATTCCCTTTAGGGATATTTAAGGAATCATCAGACTCCATGGAACATACACATGTAAGATTATTATTTAAAGACAAAGGATTAGATACAGAAAGAGAAAGAGAATTGAGGCAAGCATGAAATATCGAAGAGACATTCAACAAGAAGTTTCCCCGGGGCCACTATTCATATTCATGTCCCACATATGTAACAATCTGTATCTCCAGCCGTGCTGGACAAAATGGTTAGATCAGTTGCAAATATTAGTAAAGAAACTGATTTTGAAGGCCATAGGAGAGTTTTGGACCTTAAACAGCATAACATAAATGCCTACTACTCACCTTCTCAGTTTGAGGAAGTTCACTTCTATTCTTAGTTTCTTCAGAGCTTTAATTAGAAACGGATGGTGTGTTTTATCAAATACTTTTCTCCAGCTCTACAGATTACGTTTTTCAGCTGTTACTGAAAATAATTACATTGGTTGACTTGAAAATCTTAAACCAGGCAGGCATTCCTGGAATAAAGCCCCATTTTGTCATGGGATTATATATGAGACATGACATCTGTATGACATATGTCATGAGTGTGTGTGTGTGTGTGTGTGTGTGTGTGTGTGTGTGTGTGTGATATAAACATTTGGCAAAACTTTGTTAGAAATTTTTGCGTCGATGTTCATGACGGATTTTCATCTCCAGTTTTCTCTTGCTTGGCTTGGGTATCAGGATCATAATGCCCTCATAGGATTGAAAAGCATTCTGTCCTCTTCAATTTTCTAAGAATTTGTGCAGAATTATTATTCTTTCCTTGACATTGTGGTGGAATTTTCCCATGAAGCTATCTGATCCACAATTTTTCTTCGTGGAAAAGTTTAACTGTAAGCTCAATTTATTTAATAGAGTTGAGGCTATTTGAGTTATATTTATTTTCGAGTGAGCTTTGTTGGTTTGTGTCTTTCAAGGATTTTTTTCATTTCATTGAAATTGTTAAATTTGTCATAAAATGTATTATATCTGCTCATTATCCTTCTAATGTGTGCAAAATTACTAGTGATGTCACCTCTCTCATTCCTAGTTTGTTAATTTGTGTTTCATTTTTATTTTTTTAAATCAATCTAACAAGAAATGTATCAATTGTATTTGTCGTCTCAAAGAAGCAGCTTTCCCTTTAATTGATTTTTCTCTGTTTTCTCTTTTTACCTTTACTTTGCATTTAGTATTTCATTTCTTCTGTATTTTGGATTGGGATTGATTTTTTTCAAATTGTGTTAGTTTCTTAACGTAAAAGTTTAAATCACTGATTTGATAACTTTTCTCTCTTTTTTTTTTTAACATAGGTATTTAGTGTTATAAATTTGCCTTTAAGTATAGTTTTAGCTACAACCTAAACTTTTGGTATGTTTTCATTTTTATTCAGTTCAAAAAACTTTCTAATTTCTTTTGTTATGTCTTCTTTGATCCATAGTTTACTTAGAAGTTTGTCTTGTAGTTTCTAGATGTTTGAAGATTTTTCCGATATATTAATCTTATTGATTGTTAATTTAACTTTATCTTGGTCAAATAACATGCTCTGTATAATTTGAGATCTTCCTAGAAATATTGAGAACTTTTTCATGGCCCAGAATATGACATTTTATGGTAAATGTTCTGTGTGTACTTAAAATGAGTATGTACTTTGTTGTTGTTGAATAGATTGTTTATAAATATAAATGAAATCTAGTTGGTTGACTTATTTAAGGAAGAATGCAATCTTATTCTACATGTGTGAATTTCTCTGTTTTTCTTGCAGTACCATCATCGTTTTCTTTATGTATTTTGAAGCTGTGTTACTTGGCATACACGTATTTTGAACTGTTATTTTCTATCAGTTGACCTTCTACATCATTATGCAGAGGCCTTCGTTAGCTCTTTTAATACATTTTTTTCAAAGTTAAAAAGAAGATTCTTACTATGACTCAGTGCTTCTGTTACCCTTCTGAAGAAAGTTATATTATAATGTTATATAAAGGCTACATTGAAAGTTCTTCTTTAAATTAACTACACTTTATTCCTAAAATTACAAAGAATTGAGGTATTTTGCAAGTCAAATGCAATAAATTAAAATGTTCTTTTAACATAAATCAACACTAGAAAAAATAAACGTTATAGATGGAAGTTAAATAGTTTTCAAGTGGCTTCG